TTCATTAATTCTCTGGTGAAAAGTCCACATACCCTTTGTAGATGAAGTCACTATAGAATTTTTCTTCTTCCTATTATCCAATTTCCAGCTCACTTTTGCATTCTTTGCACTGTTTGTTTTGTTTGGTTTGAGGGTTTTTTGTTTGTTTGGTTTTTTAGGACTTTTTCTTCTCATACAGGCCCTGTCTTGCAAGTCTGTGTTTAGGTTCGTTGCATAATCCAAACAACTATAAATCACGTCGAAGTCCTTAGTCTTGCCACCACCAAAATGGGATCTAAATCCAAACACAAAAATGACATCTGGTGTGCTCTTGTACATTTTGGCTAGTTTTTCACCAATTTCTGTCTTAGGTACTGTTGCTTTCCTATGGAAGGACATCAATGACCATTTGTTTTCGCTGATGCAGTAGGTGGGTGAGGTAGTTAGTTTATTGTGCTAACCTGGCCGATAAACACATGTGGGGTTAATTGAAGGGCAGACGGATAAATGGCTCAGTGAGCCTCACCTTTCTAGTTCTTGGGTCTCTTGCTTTCTGACAGTCGGACCAGGGTGCAGCTGCCTTAGCCAGTTCCCTGCTTCAGCTGGCAAGGCTCACTTCCATCAAGACATCCCCGAGGAGAAGCCACCTGGACTTACCTGGAGCAGCCCTGTGGAGACCCCTGTCAGCGCTGAGATGCTTACTCAGTCACTGACTCAGCTTTCCTCCTGCAGTCGGCATCATTGCGTCTGTGTTGTGAGGTGGAGGAGGACTGTGAGATGGAGGAGGATTTTGTGAACTGGTTTTGGACATATGGGTTAATGGGTTAATGTTGGACTCGTGGGCTTGGGCAGCACTAGGTTGGGATGTTTTCTTGATGCACACTTAACCTTCACATAAAACTCTCTCTTATACATGAGTTTCTGTGGATTTGTTTCTCTAAATTACCAAGACTAACACAGTTTGTCATGAACTTCCTGGTCATGATAGTTACTACGTCAATCATGATGGCGGCCAGACTGGTTGAAGTTTTTCTATTTTGTCTAAACATTATTGTGGCTTTTTTGCATTTTTTTGTTTGTTTGCTTCCTGGTTGTGTTTTGTCTGGTTTTCTGGATATGAAATGCAGGATAGGTAGATCTATGGAGACAGTAACTAGATTAATAATTTCATAGGAACAGGGCAAGAAAGGACAGGAGAAATAGGGAATGAATAACCGTGAGTATGAGAATAAAATGTTCTGGTATTAGTGGTAATGATAATTGCACAAGTTTCCTTAATATGATTGAATAATTATATTTTATGATATATGCAGTATATGCCAAAAAATTAAAAAAAGAAAACAGAAAATTATAAAAAATAGGGAAAAAGGTAAATGGGTCAAAAGAGATAACAAATGATACTATATTAAATTTTAAATTTTGAGGTAACTACATTTACCCGAATTCACTTTACAATACACTCTGTCAAAGAGTAAGGCTATTCACATCCCTCGTCAGTGGTCGGAGGGAATTCACTGGATGCTTAATCCAAGTGGATAACCTGCAAATGTATTTTGAGCTTGCACTGTCATCCAGAGCCTTTTGCAAACCATGCCCAGAATTTAAGCTCTAATATAGTTCCTTCCTCTGTCCCTGGATCTTATTACAATCTTTGGATCACATAGGTTGGTGAGCTTCTTCAATGTGAACATAGCTGGCACCTCACTTAGATGGATGCTTATTTTAAGCAAGCCTTTAAGACCCTAGATGCCATGCTTTCTGATCGCCAGGCACCATCTGATTTGTTCACCACACTTTGCTACAGAACCCATATCTTTAGTAATACTAATTTTAATTTTAATATTTGTACTTTCCAGAAATACATTCATTAAGTACCTTTTGTGGCATGTGCTGCTTTCCACCCATAAGCTCAGAAACTTTTGGCTGATGATTTTCTTTTCCTGTTCCATCACTAGAATATGATGAATATGAATAAGAACCCACCCTTAGAATACAAATCTGAATTCTGTGTGACATTAGAGAAGTTTATTTAACGCCTCTAACGTTTATCTAAAAATGTTGGACACAATACCTACCTCTGAGCATGACTCGTATCACATATTTAACACAGTGACTCATATAAGATGCTTATTACAGGTTATTATTATTACAGGTCCTTATTATTACCTGTAATAAGGACCTTATTACAGGTCCTGGTATATGGTTAACCCTCAATACATGTTAGAAGATTTTATTAGCCTTCTAACTTTTTTGACTCTTGGATTTCAGTTACAATACCCCTCTTAGTCAGTATCATGAGCCTTCCACAATATCAATTTAAAATGTCACCTCTGGAGGCAGAGATATTCATTGGAGACACTGGGCTGTAATTTCTCCAACTATTTTGCGCATAGAACGTCTCTATACAAGGACCTTCATTCACCTCTCAGCAGTCTGAAATTGTCCCCAGCCCAGCTCAAGGCATTTCCCCCCCTGTGCTCAGTGCAGCTTGAAGGCAATCTCATCAACAGGTTTGAGGCTTGCTTTATTGGGCATGATTCATTGTATATCTTCAGGGTCTGGGTTAAAGTAGTCAAAATGTGATTAGCTATGAATGAAAGCAAAACCTGATAAAGAATGGCATAAGCATTCTCTTTGTCCTTCAGAGTGTGAAGGGTGACCACATTTTCCTATTTCTGTAAGGACAAGTTCATTGTGCTGAAGGTATTAGGACAATGTGATTAAACGCTACGTGTATCATTTGATATTAGGTATTAACTGCATAATACCTATGTCTTCCTGCCACTGCAGCTAAACCATTTGCAAACATTAATGTTGTGCAAATGAATGCAAACCATTTTCCTTTGTGTCTCCTTGGCTGGAGAGTAGTTAAAAATGATAAAAATTATCATAAAGTATATTTTGTTTATAGGGCAAATGATTAGAAATAAAGATAAATAATAACTTTTTATTAAAAATGAGAGTAAATAGCAGATGGCTGAACCCTTGGGTGCCCAAATAGAAGGGAAAATTCTTTGGTCTTCTAGCTCGAGCACTTTGGGAAATATAGATAGTACTTACTTTCTGGTGAGTAACAGCATGTAGCATTGTTAAGCTTGATTAAGCAAATTTAATTAGTGTTAGTCAAAGCATTTTTGCAAGTGGATAAATGTATTTCAGTTTAGGCAAGACTGTTAATCTTTAATTTATGAAATGAAAGTTAAAATGTAGCCATAAAATATTAAAATTGCAATATAATTTTGGTAGCATTTCTCCAGTTATTTTTAAGCCTTACAAGTCAAGATAGTTTCCTTAGCATCTGCTCATGCACCTTGGAAACATGGGGCTGTGGATGCCCAAGTAGATAGTGACCTAGAACAATATTCCTCCATAACTAAACTAATATTCTTCAAACCTGGGTTTGTGTCATACAAGAAGTATTTATCTAGGGTCTTAGTGATTACATACTGAAGTGGAACCCCAAATCCAGGTCTGACTTAAGAAATAAAATGACCTTAGCAATAGTAAATTACTCAAACAGGATATACCCCAAATTGGAGGAAATTACGTAACAAACTAACTGATTTTTTTCAAATAAAATTAAAATTGAACAACAAACTAAAAGTCATATATACTTCCATTTAGTGGATTTCAACTCAGAGTGCCCATGTATGTTGTTGCTGTTGTTGTTGTTGGTAGGTGCCTTCCAATCAGTTCTGAGGCATAACAACTCTATGCAGAAAAGAGAAAAGCAATGTCCAATGCCAACTTCACAGCTTTTGCTATGTTTGAGCCCTGTGCTAACTCATCGTAGCTTGTTTGTTGACTCTACCAAGCATGATGCCCTTTTCCAGCAATGGATCTCTCCTGATAACCTGCCCAAACTGTGTGCGACAATCTCGTCATCCTTATATCTAAAGAGCATTCTGTGTGTCATCTAAGAGAAATTTGTTTGTTCTTCTAGAATTAGATGGTACTTTTAATATTCCTCATCAACACCATAATTTAAAAATGTATCAACACTCTTTTTTTTTTTACCTATGCAAACACCTTTTATGTGAAGAAAATGCAGGCCGGCGGTCCACATGACAGATGGCCAGGGCCAGATGAGGGCCAGGGCTTCCTTCTCGATGGTGGCTCGGATTACACATGGAGGACACACTTCTCTGAGGAGATTCTCGCTCAAGTTGCAACATAAAGATGTTACGTTTTAAAAACCGTGACAAGGTCTAAAATTTCCTGGGATGGCTTCTCCATCACTCGTCTCTCATAGCCCCTGCACTGTGCAGTCCCCTCGAGGGAGCGGAGCCGCCCAGACACCATGGGTACCATGGACAGCCTACAGGTTGTGAATGCAGCCCAAGACCAGAAGGACCTCTTCTCTCCACGGACTTGATCCCTGGGCCTAGGAAGTTCCCAGAGCCGTTTCCTAACTCCTGGTAAAATGAGCAACGATGGCGCTGCCCACGACAGCGTAAAAGAAATGGGTAATTCACTAGAAACTGGCTTCAAACTCATAATCTTAATTACTTTGAAACTGCATCATGTAATACCGAAGAGTTACCAAGCACCTGTCACAACGGCTGACGCAGTGAAACTGGCATTCCGTGTACCTGACCAGTTATACAAAACTCAAGATTTCTTTTGAAAGAAAGGTCATAGAATTCCCCAAGAACAAAGACGAGGCTGCGAGTTGCAGGTGTGTTTACTGCTCTAGCATCCCCATCCAGTCTGCGGGTCCCCCAACCAGCTGGGAGAAGGGTGGGAGCGGTGGGGATGTGGGGTCGATACTGCGAGCTCTACCTGCTGCCCCATTTGGGCTGAATGGCAACTTGGGGCCTGAGACAGCGATAGAAATGGGTCTGAGGTCAAGGTGAGGCAGCCCTTCAGGGTGGGCCCGTCCGTGAGTCCAAGGGCAACGCAGTTGTCTCAGGAGCTAGGTGGCTTCTCCTTGGTGTCCAAGGCCTTCTGAAGGTCTTCAAGTTTCTTGGATAGGGTTGGTCTGTCATAGTTCTGAGCCAGATACATCCCAGCGATGTTGCCAAAGGTAAATCCAAGCAGGAACTGAAGCACGATGTCAGTGGGGAAGGTCTCACAGTCTTTGTTAAAACTGTCGTTGTGAATAGGGTTAGATTTACAGAGCAGATGGTGAGTGTTACGTTCATCAGCTCATCAAACCGGTGCTGTCTTGCTCTGTTTTCATCATTTTTTGCCCCTCTCCCTCTTGTTGGATATATGCCACTGCTCTTCTGTGTGCCTAATCATCAGCTAGCTTCTGTATACAGATTGGGTGATTGAAACTACTGTGTCGTGGATCAGGCACCCCTTAATGTTTAAAGTGACATCGTATGTCTTTAACACTTAAAATAGGTCCTGTGCAGTAGATTTACCCAGGGCAATTTGTTATGTGATTTCTCGACTGCTGCTTCCAGTACTCTTGATGGTGTATCTAAATTCTTTGACAGTTTTTTTCTCCTTTTATCATGATGTAGCCTATTGGTGGTGGTGTGAGGATTTTGGTTTTCTTTACAATGAGTTGTAATCCACACTGAAGGCTTTCTCATTTGTTTTTCATCAACAAGTCTTTTTGGTCTTCCTTGTGTATTTTCAAGATTATGCTATTCGTCCAGGTCAATACAGCCATGAAGCAGTAGAGCTGAGGTTTTGCATTCACAATTGTCTATGAATCTAACCAGGTTCTTTCCACTATAAGATACCTTTTCCCTTGTTAATAGATCTTGTTCTCTTCGTGGATTAAGCAGAGAAAACACTTGATTGAAAACATGACTGAATGCTTTGGGAGCACTGGGAAATACTGAAGCAAAGGAAAGCTCAAGCCCAACAACTCAAAGATGGATGAGAAAGTATAAGGCAGACAGAGACTTTTCTACCTGACTACTCGGTGTTCGAATCATACTCCCTGCTCCCTGTGGGGATGGGGGAAATGCCTGGATGATGACTGAAGATGTAAACAAAGCATCAACATTTCATGAGCAATCAGTCATTGAATATATGTCAACAAGTATGAGGCCACTTTCTCTGGGAATTACAAAACTGGAATAGATAACTCAAAAAGAAAAAAAATGAAGGCACTATTACTGCTACAAGCATAGTATTTGACATTTCTAACAAATGTTAATAGTTAAAAGGCAAGAGCCAATTTAAATAAAATTATATTTAAATCAAATTAAAATTCTAGAAATGCATAACAACTGAGAAAGAGCCTTTTTATTCAGGATGAACATTAATGAATAGATCTCTAAACGCACTAAATTACTAAACTGTTTTTAACCTTTTAACAAGAATTCTACGTTCTGTTTTTTTGTTTGCTTGTTTGTTTTGTTTTTGATGTAGGAATATAATTTTCAATTCTTTTTTTTAATGTTCTTCTCTATGGTGAATCTGTAATTAGATACACTCCAATTTACTTTGAGGGTGGGAGGTTGAAAATATACATGCATGTTATTATAAAAGTATGAATGGCATGATCTATGTTTCTACAACCTATGCAAATCGAGAGAACTCCATACTAGAAGTTAGTATTACTGCAGTCTTGGCAGTCTTGCTGGAACACATTACTAAGCACTCAAATATTAACTGAAAAATTGGAAATTCAAACCCACACAGAGGTGTATTGGAAGACAGGACTGCCAGTCTGTTTCTGAAAGGTCCGTCATGCAAACCCTATGGATCGGTTTGCTTTGCAACAAGTGGGACATCAAGTATTAGAATCAACTCCACAGCAACTGGTCTGGTGTGTGTGTGTGTGTGTGTGTGTGTGTGTGTGTGTGTGTGTCTTCTCCTTTATGTGATGCAGTGATTTGGGCAGAAGTAAAGCCAGAATTGTTTTACACCAAGAAAACTCTACTTTTTATTGAAGTCCTAGCAACTTTTTACTTCCATTACACCTTACTTAGTACCATTGAGAATGGGATAGTGTTAAAAATTAACTCAAGTACAGCAAAAGCTGTGGATTTTATTTCAAGAATTATTGGCACCCAAGTAAGCATGGCCTCTAGTCGAAAACTCTGGGTGCCAAGCTGCTGGGAACATATGGATGAAAAAGTCAGTTATCTTGCTTTTTAAGATGATTGAAAAAAAAAACACTGATTATGCACCGGGTCTGTGAAATGACCTTATTTATAACTTACAACCAAACCCTTTTACAGGTCAGGGAATTGAGATTCAGAGACGCTAAGATCGCATAACAAGAGATATCCATTCTGTCCAGAAGGAAAGAGAGGGGGAAATAAAGATGAATAGGAAGAAGGGAGGGAGGGAGGGAAAAAGGAGTCTTGAATGTGATTGTAGAATGCTGCGCTTTGTTTTACCTATGAGACTCAAATGTTTGCCAACATATAACTTTAATTTTGTACCCACCATTAATGCACCTGCTGGATATGTACAATTGTTAACATTTCATTTTTCATCCTTTCCATCACTTTCCCAAACTGTCAATTTTACTAATGAATCTACCTTGGTGGGAGTGTGATGCAGTATATTGAAATCTGTTTAACATTAATAAAAGGGGTGCTTTCCATGTAGTGGTTACCCTAACCTACTGTGGTGCCTATGGCAATAGCAAATTGGGTAATTAAATTATCTATAGGAATGTATACAAGCAATTTGTGTGAGTGCTAGTTATGCTTGCAATATTGGTAAATTGTAAACAAATATTAACAAATAATGAAATAAACAAATTATATTGTAACCATAGAGGATATAGCCTTGAAAAATAATTCCATATGGTTTTATTTAGTGGAAAAATGTTCATGATGGGTATACACAAAATGATCGCATTAAAAAAAACAATACACATAGAAACACACAATATGACTATATATGTAGACATAAATATCTGAGCGTTGACAAATTGCACTGTAAACAATGGTTTTCTCTAGTGAGGAGGAAGTAATAAAAACATAAAGAACTTTCCGTCTTTATATGAATCCATTTTAAATAAGGGGGTATAGCTTTTATTTTTGTAAGAATATTTTTAAATGAAAATTACTCAAGATAAAACTTCATCAAGGAGATTGCATTTTTTGCCACAAAAACATCAACGAGTTTTGATTTAAAAGGATATTTCCACTCTCAGAACAGTCAATGGAACATAGGCCATGCAAACTATCAGAAATATGCATATAAACGTATTGACAAATGTACTGGTGTTTATAAGCCAGAAGCTCTATTGTTCACCACTGATCAATGTGGACATTCAGTCCCTGTGGCCTTGTGCTTCATTGGTGAAGATAGCTCTAACTACAAAGCTGTTGGTTTGTTATTTTGTTTTGTTTTGTTCTGAAAGAAAAGGGCCATGTGTTTGAAGATCTGCTTTGCTATTTCTAGACCAGTGCTATGTATATTGATTCCCATATACTAGTAACTGCAGTGACACTACCATCAGAGAACTATTGGTAGAGAGTTGAGGAGGATGATAGGCAGTTGTAAGAAGAAGCAATTGTACCTGATGTTATTTGAAAAATTCTCATTCTCAAGTGTTCATTGCCTGCAATGAAACTCGCGGGATGAATCTCAATCTCTGCCGATCTGCTCAACAGTGTAATTGAAAGTCATTCTACAGGGAGCCCTGGTGACGTTACAGGTTACATGTGGGCAGATCATTGGAAACCACAAGCTCCTCCTCTGGAGAAAGATGAGGCTTTCTGCTCCCATATAAGGATGGAAGCTTCAGAAACCCACAGGGACAGTTTTATTATGTCATACTGGGTTGCTGTGAGTCAGAATTGATTCGATGGCAGTGAAATGAAAGTTGGTTTATTGAATAAGATCTTAAAGTACAAGCTTGTACTACTCCACTAGTAATTCAAATATCTACCACGATGTCACAGAATCCCTGGGTAGTGCAAGGGGTTCATGCATTTAGCGACTAACTAAATGGTTAAAGGATTGGATTCACCCAGAGATTGTGAAGTAGAAAGGTTGGTGATCTATTTACAAAAAGATTACCATCGAAAATCCTGTGGAAGACAGTTTTACTCTGACACGTATGGGTCACACTAAGGTAGAATCAACCACACAGTAACTGAGTGCCATGACATTGTACTGTGCTGGAGCCATGATGGTATAGTGGGTTAAGAATTTGATGGCTAACCACAAAGTTGACCTTTCAAACACAACAGTCCTTCTGTAAGATAAACAGGAGACTGTCTAAGTGCTACCGTAAAGATCTACAGTCTTTGAAACCCTCTATCCGCTTGGTTAGCTACACGGCAGAACTGACTCGATGGCAATGGGTTTAGAGGTCTGAAGACCCCAGTTAAGATCCAGGCCTGGTGTGTATTAGGCTGGGAGTTTGGACAAGTTATTTGCTGGTAGAAATGGTTAAGCAGCTGACTACTAGCCAAAAAGTTAGTGGTTCAATTACACCCTGAAGAGTCTTAGAAAACAAGCCTGTTGATCTGTTTCCAAAATATCACAGCTTTTAAAACCCTACAGAGCACCTCTACTCTGCACACGTGAGGTCACCATGAAGCAACATGAAGGCAATGAACAAGAACAAAGTAAGAAGAATGTATATTTATTTAAATCAAATAAAGGTAATTAATGCTGGAAAAGTACGCTACAAATTTTAACAAACAATACCCTGAACACTTCAGTCATAACATTCGTTCAGATTTTCCCCTCTTCCTTCCTCACATTGCTGTGATGTCCTTGTGGGTGTGTTCTACGTCCATAGGAAATGAATTTGGATTTAGCCATGTGGCATACTTTAACCAGTTAAATGTAAAGCAACGTCTTATTTGGGGAGAGCTAAGTGGCTATTTTGAGAGACAGGATGCATTCCCCCTTTCTATCTTGGACTTCTATTATGAGAAAAGCATGCTGCGATAGTCACTGATAAGAAAAAATGTTCTGAAAAATCAAGACATAAATGGCAAAGTAAACTGGAGATGGTGCTTTAAGATTGTAGGTTTGGGTAGTAGTTTATATATTTGCATTGGAATTAGAGAAAAATAAACTACTAAGTCAAGTTTATATTGCATGTGAGTGGCATATTTTGAGTCTGATCATAGATATTTTAATAGAACTAAAGGGGAAAATACTGTCAACTTGAAGTCACTTCATAATTTTCACTTTAATAATGTC